AAAATGTCTGAAAAGATTTTAACTGTGAGGTTTAAATTCTCAATTTTAAACTTTTTTAAACAATTCTGAGTTTCCATCTCAATATTATGACTACCAAAAAACTGAAGTTTATCTTTCAGTTCTGGGTATCAAAGCTCAAATTGTGAAATGTAAACTTAATTTTAAAATTCTTGCAAAAAAAAAAAAAGTGTTTCTATGTTATAATAACATCTGTATTATTAATAATCTGACCTTCAAGCCTGTATATATATATATATATATATATATATATAAACATACATATATATATAAACATACATATATATATAAACATATATATATATATATATATATGTATGTATATATATATATATATATATATATATATATATATATATATATATATATATATATATATATATATTTTTTTTTTTAGAAACACAGTGTTTTGTATGCACTAATGTGCATTTTAGCTTGGAAATGTACTGAATTAAATGCATAAGTTAAGTCCTTAACACAACAGGCATCATATTAGCCATTTACCACACACTGCCGAGTCCATAAATTCCCACAATATTTCAAAAAGACAACCCTAATAGTAATATTCAGATCATAACACATTCACTCCCAAACTGATGAGGCATCAAGCAAGCATCAGAAACAGAGCGTGCCCCATCACCATCTGTATCCCATATCCATCTGCTTACCGTAAACTAACCGTTAAATCCCAGGCCGCTGAGGCACTGACCATCCTTCACAAGTGATATTCCACAGCATATGTGAGGACTCACTCCCTCACCCCTCCTTTAGGAGCCATTTATGGACTGGTAGACATTTTAGAGTGCTGATGCCTGCTGACATTTGCTCTGATCCGACTGATGTTGGTCCCTACAGTCAGAGGGCGAGGCCTCCCCCGCCCCACTCCACATGAGACAAAAGAATCCCCCCTGACATTAGTACTTGACTCTGTTGTTCTTTTTCTCCACAGTCTCCCACTCTCTTTCTTAAAGGAACAGTTCACCCAAAAATTAAAATTTGATGTTGTTTATTCAAACTGAATGCTAAAAAATGAGTTAACACAAGAACAATAAAGAAAGTGCTAACTGGAAGTTGCTGAAACTTTTATTTAAGTTGATGTATTTGCAAGTGAAATAGAATACTGAGCAGGGGCTTTCTTTTTGTGCATCATTCCAAACCAACCGTGAGAGAGGCGTGGTTAAGAATATTGTGGCTGAAGCCGTCAAACTGACAATAACAGAGAATGACAGCCACTGATAACCAAAACAAAAATTTTTTCAGTGGATTAAATTGCATGGCTTAATTGCTCACCTAAAGAATAACAATGTGCACCTATATATATATATATATATATATATTAGGCGTGTAACGATATTAAAACCGAACCGAAATATCGCGATACACCAACCACGATACGTATCACGAAACTCTCGTGGCGTACCGCGGTACTCTCACGCCCCCTGCTGCCCATTGTTGAGGTTGACGTCACTTATCTCTAAATAATTGAACCAATTTAAACACATCTTTATTATCATATTTGATTAAATTGTTTTAGTAATGATGAGGATTTGTTCTAAATATTATATTCTAAAGTTAGTATTTTAGTGCATGTTATGTGATGTGACTTAAGTAAGCATCAGACTCATTACTACTGGACGCAGGATGGCTGCTTCACGTACTGAGATTGCAGATCCCCAAGACACATTTAAGTCAACTGTGTGGAAACATATTGGTTTTCCAGTTGAGTACAGGAATAGAATTCGTGTCGTAGACAAAGCGCACGCCTGTCTGTCTCAACTGTTTCACGAAACTTACTTGTAAGGAAAAACATTTAAAAAGTGGGGTAATTTCACAATGTGAGGGTGTAAGCAACAGAGCTGCCAACAAAAGTGATTTAACTTAATTTAATTAGTTAAACTCGAGCTAGGGGGTGATAGTTAAGACAAACAAAAGAAATAAATATAATAAAACAATTCTAACTCAAGAATAACCCCTCTTACCTCGCTAAAACTGATGAAAAGAAAAAAAAGGTCTTCAGCGCAGTGCGCAGCATTCTTCCCTATACTGAATAAAATAAACAAAGATGACCTTCACCTCTTACCTGATGTCTTTAACAATACATTTTCTATGTGTTTGCAAAATGGAAATCGCATGACATTTTCCCTATCTACCTTACACTAAGACTGAACTTGAGGAGATACAGCTATATTGTCGGGAAGGAGCGGAGCTAAAAAATAATATACAAATCAATTGAAATAAAAATGTACAAACCTCACACAATTTCTTAAAGTGGGCAAAAGTAATGCAAAATAATTTTACCCAAACGAAAGTTAAGCAAAAACAACGAAAATCATAATCATGTCAGAAAAATACACGAAAAACGAGATCAAAGGAAAAAGAGCTCTCTCTCCCGCTCTGCCTGACAAGCTTTTTACATTCCCGCGCTGCGTCGCCAAATGATGATAGATCGGTCTCCTGACCAATCAGCTGTCAAAAAGGCAGACCTACAGAAATGACAGGCATCAGCTGTCGTGAAGGCGGACCTACATAAATGACTGGCATAGAGGGAGCGGGAGAGAGAGAGAGAGAGAGAGAGAGAGAGAGAGAGAGATCGGGAGGCAAACATACAGCCGGCTACAACCCTAACATTAGTTTCAGACACAACCGCAATGTATTTTACTGGTGAATATGTCATGAAAAAACACTTTACAAACACATTATATGTATATTTTTCATTAATTTAAATGGAAACCTATCTATCTAAATGAAACCATATAATCAAAAATGAGGTCTGTGTCTGCACAGAGATCAAGCCTCTCATCGGAGAATGTGGATATTATGGTGTTTTTGAAGATCTTTCACTAGTCTACACTGCAGTTATTTATTTAATTTTAGTTTACTTAGTTAAGATGGCTGCACTAAAGAAATAGTTTTTTTTCTGACTAGTCTATATTGGAGGTATTTATTTAATTCTAGTTGTTTACTCGGGTATCCTGACTGTACTAAAAATGCGATGACAAAGTTAATTAAGAAACAGTTAAGATGTTCTTGTTATTAAGTGAATTGTCCCTTAGCATTGCTGTTAACATGACATCAACCCTAACCCTAACCCTAACCCTAAGCAAACAGAAACCGAATCGTACCGAACCGAACCGTGGCTCCAAAACTGTGAACCGAACCGAACCGTGCCTTTTGTGTATCGTTACACCCCTAATATATATATATATATATATATATATATATATTTAACACAGACTTTAAAGATGATTTTTAGCTGAAACCGTGGTCCTTGTTGATTTATAAAATGCAAGCCAATGACTGCTACAACATAATTAATGGGTACAGGTGAAAGAAAATTAATACCTGGGGCTTCTAATGATAAATCGAGGAGTTATGAAGCGAAATAATCTGTCCGTCCAAGAAAATGAGCAGCTTTTACAACATCTTTAATTTACAGCATCAGAAAAGGTCACAAGCACGTTCATGGTACTTTTTTATGATACCAGCTTCAGTTTTCTCTTAAAATAGCACTGGTGACTAAACAGTGCCTAAACCAATACTATAAAAAAAAAAGAGTCCGAAAATAATGAAGACATTAAAAAGCCCCCATTATGCATTAAAAATGCTAATATTTTGGTTTTGGGGGTCTCCGATAACAGTCTGATGTTCATGCAAGGACAAAAAACACTTTGATTATCTTATAATATGCATTTATTTTTACCTAATTATCCCAACGATTCCCATATGATTCGTTCAGCTATTCATTTGTTTCCAAACCCCTTCTTAGCATGATGCTAATCTGCGCTGATTAATCTGATGACCCAGTCTATTGCGATGTCAACTGCATTCAGCGTGAGACAGAAAGAATCGCCTAAACTTATCAACAGTTTTGAAGTAGTCAGAGTGTATATGTGAGCCCAAAGCAGGAGTGCATCAAAGCAATGCAGTTTAACACCAGCATATTGCTTTATTCTTAACCATGACACAGTGTTAATCCACGCAGTGGCAAAAGCTATTTTGAAACTTGACGGCCACACGTGTGTAGGAAAAGCTGACGGTGGTTTTAGATGTGATATGAGAATATAAAGAGTTAACCAGATACAGTACAGGCGGTTACAAGTAACAAAACACAATTAGATACATCATTTGCAAGCTAGAGAAAACAAGGAGGCAGCCATTTTAATGGCACTTAAGTTACTTACACTTGTGAAATGGAGGAAGAAACTAATCCATGAACTGTGTACAGCAAAGTTCCTGTCAAGCTCTGACAAAGTCCCATACATCAAGTCTTTTCTGATACTTCCTCTAACAAACGGCCGACGAATGCCCCATTGTAAGCATGTAGATTGCTGAAGCACTCATCAGACAAATGACGGGATCACAGCACAAGGCTGGGGCTATAATGCTGAGGTATTTAGCAAAAATAAACTTCAACCACTCTTTACAGCCTCATCTTTGGGTAGGGAAAATAACACTAACTTAAATAAACACTAAGTGTTTGTGGGTGGGTGTTTTAAATTTTTCCTGGTCTGCACAACAAATGGGCGGGGCTTGAGTTCTGTATCGACATCACACTGACACGGCTTAAGATTCGTTGCAACGACAATTCATTTGAACCACTCTGAGTCGACTCTTTTATAGATGAATCAATAGTTTTAAACACGGTCCACTTTCAAATTTACTCCTTAGCTGGATGTTTCGCTTCCCTTACAGCTGTGTTGGAACACTGCACGGAAGGTCATTTTCAAAAACCCATAATAGGGGCTCTTTAAAGAACAGCTTTTTCACAGAAAAAAAACTACACTCTAAAAAACGCTGGGTTGGTTTTTTAACCCAAATGCTGGGTTGAGACTGCTGGGTAACAAAATTGGGTTGATTCAACCCAATTTGGGTTGAAAATCGATCTTTATCTAGGAACGCGGACGTGAAAGAGAGCACGCACGTCACGTCAACATGCAGGGACATCAACCTGAGAAACCGCCATTTTCTTTGCGCTGTCTTTGAGGGGAAGCGAGTGAAATTCTATGTGAGACGTAAGTTATTTAGTGTGTATTTAACAATTTTCATAAGAAATAACACACTTAGTTTACTTAGTATAATATACACGCGCTTTTTTTTCTGTTTCTCCGCCTGATGGCCGACTTGTTGCTCCGCCTCACGCTGACCTGTGCTCGCCTTATGGCTGAACTGTTGCTCCGAGTCCGCCTGACGAGCCACCTGTTTCTCCGGATCTGTTTCTCCGCCTAACGGCGACCTGTTTCTCCGGACCTGTTTCTCCGGACCTGTTTCTCCGCCTAACGGCGACCTGTTTCTCCGGACCTGTTTCTCCGCCTAACGCCCGAGCTGTTGCTCCGCCTGACCTGTGCTCGCCTCACGCCTAGCCTGTTGATCGGTGGACGGGTAAGCGCGCATGGCATCGGAAGGAGCTCGAAAAGTATAAGGTAACTAATGAAACTAACGTGAAGCATGTTTGATGACCACTTTATTAACACAACACCTAGGATAATTTAGGAGCTTTTTATTGTAATAAAATGCCTTTTGAATGACACAGATTTTTATGTTGGCTAGGTGATGACAGTAAGTAACGTTACTGTGATTTGTGATCTTTCTGGGGTGTTAACTGTAAAGCAGTAAGTAGTATTTTTACTCTTGTATTTCTTAAGTTTGTTCATGGATTTTTGTGACAATACTTTGATGCATAAGTGTTGAATTCAGCTTCTAACAATGTTTTTTTTAATCAAAATATATACAATAATTGTCCTGCTCTGCATGTACATTTTGTTTAGCTGTACATCTGTACATTGAATAGCAAATGTTATTAATTTACTATGAGCATTTTACATTCTAGACGTGATTTGAGCTATCTTTAATTAATCCTGTATGTAAGGGTCGTTTCATGCTAACGGAAATGTCTGAGCTAAGGCTAATTCCAACCTAATCATCTTCGACTGCAAAAAGAAAAAGTTTGACCACCGTTTTATGTGACACCCTGGATAATTATTATCATTTAGGAGTATTTTTGTGATATAGTGACTTTTGGCTAACATGATCTTTTTTTACTTAATTTTGCTTAAACGCTTTTATCTGTTATTCTTTTTCAGATGGATAATTGCGTGAAAATCAAACTAAAAGAATGCAGTCTTGAGGAGTTAATCCCCACATTTGAAGGTATGTAATAATATTTTACTTGGTTCATTGTAATCATTAGGGCTGCCCTTGTCTAAACATTTGTCTGGTTGACTTGTGATGTTCATTTGAAGCATTAGTTGAATAATTACAGATTTATTAATAAACCATTTATTCATTAATTCATTTTCTTTTTGACTCAGTCCCTTTATTAATCTGGGGTCGCCACAGCGGAATGAACCGCCAACTTATCCAGCATATTTTTTACACAGCGGATTCATGCAGCATACATTGACTTTGCCAGTGTGGACTTTTTTTCTGCAACTAGTGGGTAGCACATTCGCCTCATAGCAACAAGGTCACTTGATCGATCCTTGGCTGGGTCAATAGGCCTTTCTGTGTGGAGTTTGCATGTTCTCCCCGTGTTCGCGTGGGTTTCCTCCAGGTGCCCCGGTTTCCAAAGACATGTGGTAAAGGTGAATTAAGTAGACTAAATTGTCAATGGTGTATGTGTGTGAATGAGTATTTGTTTCCCAGTGATGGGTTGCAGCTGAAAGGGCATTCGCTGCATAAAACTTATGCTGGATAGGTTGGTGGTTCATTCCATTGTGGTTACCCCAGATTAATAAAGCGACAAAGCTAAAAAGAAAATGAATGAATGAATAATAAATTTTTAGTTGACTAATGGTTATTCAATTATTAGGGGGCAGCCCTAGTAATCATTAGCCACTTCAACACTTTAAACTGAGAGATTGAACTCTAATGCCAATTTGTTTTTGTCTGGTTATTTTTTAAAATCTGCTGTTCATGCAACCAGTGACATTCTCTTGTTTTATTTTTAGCACAGGAGCGAACCTTTCCTCGTTTTTAGGTCAATTTGAATACAATTCAGAGGGTAAGGATTCAATTAAAGGTTTCTCGATGCATAATGATGCATTTAATGCATAATGATTGTCTTAGTTATTTTATTAACAATGAAAATGTTATTTTTATGTTTGTTATTAGGGTGGCATGGGGGCGCAGTGGGTAGTGCTGTCGCCTCACAGCAAGATGGTCGCTGGTTTGAGCCTTGGATGGGTTTCCCCTCCACAGTCCAATGACATGCGGTGTAGCTGAATTGGGTAAGCTGAATTGTCCATAGTGTGTGTGTAAATGAGAGTGTGATGGGTTGCAGTTGAAAGGGCATCTGCTGCGTAAAACATAAAAAGATGTCACCCAAGATGTTCATGTCATTCTTTCTTCAGTCAGAAAGATTTTTTTTTAGGAAAATATTTCAGCAATTTTATCCATCTGCATGGACTGAGATTGTGCCTCATTTTTGAAGTTTTTAAAGAAAATTTAAATGCGGCTTTAAATTATACAAATACGGTTGCAAACAGTCCCAGCTCAGGAAGAAGGGTCTTATCTATTCTCATTAAGAAAACACAATTAAATACTTAATAATTTCAAATGCTCATCTTGCCTTACTATTACTTATTAAAAAAAGTTCCTTAGGCAAACCTGTTGTTGCATTGTCATCTTCACTCGGGCCAAAAAATTGCAGCATGGTGCCATGGTCAGTGGTTAACTAATGCCAACACTGGCTGATAGCTTGGTGTGTTATGGCCTTAATTGCTTCTAAAGGTATTTTAGGTGTTCTAAAGTTAACTCTAAAGATATTTAACTTTTACACTTTTGAGTTTTTAATAAATCTTACTTCTATTTATTTTTTCAGATTGGGACCAATATTGCTGAGTATCTTCATCCATTGAATTCAAGAATCTATTGAGTTTCCTCATGTTCTCATCCTTGGAGACCACCACTTCTTTCAAGCCTTTGCTCACGTGCTGTGCTATTTATTATTGCAAAGTACATTACTTGCCAAAGTGGACGTTTGCTATAAAGCATTCTACATCTTTGGTGTGAACTACCCCAAGCAGTGTTCCCTGGTGTGGCAGACTGTGGTTTATGGACATCCTGGGGAGGAGACACTAGCAGTAAGGGTTCTGCTAGCATTAATTTTTGCTGACAAACAGTAATCATTAATACTGTGACCTCACTGCTTCCTTGGATTCTGTGTTCTTTAACTTGTACTTTGGATTGTGGGGGAAAAGGAGCACCCAGAGAAAACCCACACGAACACGGGGAAAACATGCAAACTCCACACAGAAACACCAACTGACCCAGCTGAGGCTTAAACCACTGACCTTGTTGCTGTGAGGCAATCGTACTACCCACTGTGCCACCATGACACCCATTTCTAAAGAATAGTTTTAATAACTCATTTCTAATAACTGATTTCTTTTCTCTTTGCTATGATGACGGCACATAATAATGGACTAGATATTTTTTAAGACACTCTACACTGCAGTTACATTGCAACTAATGTTTCTTACAGACTCTTTTATATCTCAGGATTGATGTTTGCACATGATTGTTCGAGTAAAAGTTAAAAAAAGTTTTCCTATTTCAAATTTGTTTTAAAATGCTTCCATCCTCAGGTTTCATTTTAACTTTTATATCTGTTTTTTCTTCAAAACTGCATTTACATTGAACTTGATCATCCTTACTGATGATTGCTTTATAGCTCATATATTGATGTTTGCACATAATTGTTAAAGGGAAAGTTATAAAATGTTTTCTTATTTTTTCTTAATATAAAATTTGTATTTTCTTAGTTTTTATTGTTTGTTTTGTTTTTTCAAGCTGTTTGATGCCTTTTCATTATTACTTTCACATATTTTTTTCTGCATTGCAGTTGATGATTTATATGAGAATATGTTGATGTTTGTGCTCAAATTACTTTCTGACTTCAGTCATTTAGATGCATTTTCATTATTACTTCCTTATACTATTGTTTTTCTCTACTCTGCAATAGCATTGCAATTGCCTTACTGATGATTCCTGATTTATAAATGATGCAAATGTTTTTGAATGTATTTCAAATATGCATTTTCTTAAGGTAATTTGTCTGATTTCAGTCTGATGCATTGTTACTGAACTTTAGTCAGTGTTTCTGTGATACAGTTTGATAAATTTTCACAGAAATCGTCTTAACCCTTTAACAACCCTTTCAAGAAAAAAAATTGGATTGCATTTCTCAACTGCTAATGTCGCTATTGAACACAATCAGTACATTTTAACACATGTTATAATTTCTAAAATATCAACCTCTACCAAATGATTGATATGTATGTTTATGGTAAAAGTACCAGAATTATAAAAAATCTGAAAAATTATGTGCAAGACCAATTTAAAAAAAAAAAAAAAAAAAAAAAAAAAAAAAAAAAAAAAATATATATATATATATATATATATATATATATATATATATATATATATATATATATATATATTTAAAAGAAATATTTTGAACACTAAATCATCTTTTTTCTTATGACTTTAACAGTCATTATTTAAAACAGTAAAAACGAGGTCAACCATTTGGTAGAGCAGGCAGTCAAAGGGTTAATGCTGAGGTGCAGATGGGAAAAATCTCAAATTCATTTGGACACATTTTATCTTTTGTCATAAATAAAATTCCATTACTGAACAACTATGTATTGCTGTAGAATTGTTTTTATTTTAGTGATTTTAATCATCTGTTTCTAGATTAAATTTCTGACCCATTTTGGGTTACATTCAACCCAGCAGTGTAGTAATTTTTAACTAATAGTTGGGTTAAAATCACAACCCAGCATGCTGGGTTAAACTTGTAACCCAACTTGCTGGGTTAAAGTAACCCAGCGTTGGGTTTGTCCCTTTTTTACCCAGCGCTGGGTTAGCAAAACAACCCAAATTGGGTTGTTTTCAACCCAGCAGTTTTTAGAGTGTACAATAAACAATATATTAAAAGTTTAAAATATATGTAGCTAAATATTAAAAAGAAAATACAAAAACACAAGACATTTAGAGAAATGTACAACAAATACTGCCATCTAACCCTATATAATGTAAAGAAGGCTGTTATTTCAACTGTATTTTCTTTTTAATGTTACCATAACAATCTGTAACCTGGTTAAAAGTAAGTTAGGATAGTAAGGCTTTTGTTAAATGTGAGCATAAATCATCACAATTAAAAGAATCCAATACTATCTAAGTTTGTGTGCATTGAATGTATTTAAAACACAAGTTTCACAATTTAAGTTGAATCACTGAAATAAATCAACTTTTCCATGACATTCTAAGTTATTGAGATGCAATTGTAGAAAGCAGATTTCAAACTAATCAAAATGTTACTAGTGCCTATCCTGAATGCTGCAACATATATGCTGTATTATAGTAAGATTATGTTTGGATGGACTTGGGACAAATTATCAACTTTGATTTACATCATTATAAAGTTTGTGCTCCATACATTATGAAAAGACTCAGGAGGTGTTACAGTAGCTGTGAATTAATAATGTTGTAAACAATGTTCAGCTTCTTGCACAGACCTATTATTTTTGTTTCATTAGACATCAATAAAACCATCAGGAGCCACGCGTGTTAAATTTGTTTAGCATGTATGTTTTTTTGGGGGGGTTTTTTTCTCACTCTAAAAGTGTGGAGTGTCTTTCATTAAAGAAACCAAACAGTTACAAATACAAATCTTCTGTAATGTTTTACTGGAAAACAAAGTGGCTTATACCTGTACCTCTGACCTGACAACATATATAACTAGGACTGTACCATATTGAAAAAAATCTAACATTGCGATATTTTTAATTCTGTGATATATATTGCGTTGTGAATACAATTTCACAAGATGAGTGTAATAACTGTTTAAAAAATAATTTATGAATTTAGATTGACTGGGGTGATTCTGTAGGTGAGTGCATGATATAACAAAGAATCTATAAGCATAGAAAAATTCAATAAAGAAAAAGATACAAATTAAATTAAACAGCATCCTATTGTTTTCAGAGGAAGTCGAAATGTATTCAGGTATGCAGTAATTAAATAATTAAATAAAATAATACTGCATAGACTTCATTTTATGAAGAATTGGTAACACTTTACAATTAGGTTGCATTACTTAATATTATTCAATGCATTTTCTAACATGAATAAACAACGAACAGTGCATTTTTTTTACAGTATTTGTTCATGTTCATATTTAGTTCACGCTAGTAAATGCATTAATAAAACCTTATTGTTAAGTGTGACCAAACATGGTTATTAGTTATTCAAACTTTCAAAGGTACAATTTCTTATGCCTGAATGCTTTTAAAACCCTTACACAGTCACAGGCCTTAAAAACACTTGAGAAACTATAAATTGTAATTCAGACTCAACATTGTGTAAACCTACAACGTGACTATCACATTGCAATATCAATGCTAAAACGATATATTGTGCAGCCCTACTTATAACTAGGGCCAGAAAGAATCTGCGGCCATTTTTTGCTGTTTCAGCATAGAATTTTGTAAAAAACAATCAGCAGATTTATGCGGAATGATTTTGGGAGTATTGTAACTAAACCTTAATAGATTGTTTTCACGACGTTATTAACAACGTGTGAAAATGAAATGGAGGGCAGGAAGGGATTCTTCTACATATTGCTATCAGAACATCAAAATGTTTCTGTTTTATGATATTTATAATTGTTTCAATCAGCCAAAATAAGAAATGATACATATTAGTAAATATTACTAAGATTAATTTTAAAAACTGAATATATATATATATATATATATATATATTATATATATATTTTTTTAAATATAATTTTTTCATTTATTTAATTTTTTTTATCAAATATGCAACTGCAGCTCATTAATGGTTTTGGAGCTGTATACCGGCATTCTCTTAACAGGTCAATTAATTCTTTCTTAAAATGTCTATACATTTTAACTTTCAAAATGTGACATGTTTCCTACCCTTTTTCTGCATTTTTGTATTTATTTTTTATTTTTTAGTGACAGCTCTGTTCAGAAGTTATTTGCCTCTAAATATTCCTTGGGTTTAGTCATGCAAATTCATAAAAAAACAAAAACAAATGATACCCCTGACTTTAAAAAAAAACAAAAAAAAGCAGAAACAATAATGTTATCAAATCCTTTTTTTTAACCTTTGTAATTTTGACCTTCGTAAACAATTGTA